TAAGCCAGTTTCTGCACATTTCCTTTCGTTATGTGAGGACCGGCCCTGGAGGAGATCCGCGAGATCACGGACTGTTTTTTCTGTGTCCCGAGTGAATCTGCACCAAGCCATCTTTCAGAGAACCTTAGAGCCAGGGACCTTGAAACAATGTTCCCCCCCTACTGGGGTAGGAAGTTTAGTTCTCTGTCACCAGTGGACTCATTAGCACCACATCCTTAAGCAGTATCTGGCCTGATTTCTAAATAGACTGGAGCTCAGAATCCCAGTGGCCAAGTGCTCTAAACGGGGACAAATAAATATAATACTTAGTATTTATTGAAGGTTTCCTATGTGCCAGGAGGTGTTCCAAGCATTCTTACAATGGCTTTCCTGTGTGCCAGGAGGTGTTCCAAGCACTTATAATGAAATTAAAGTGCCCTTGGCTATTACTGTCATCGAAGCCTCACAGCAACCCTGGTAGACATTTTTATCCCCATTTTACAACGTTAGGCAATGAAGGCATAGGTAGGCCAAGTAATTTGCCCAGGATCTGTCTCCAAAGCCCTCGCTGTTAGCTTCTATACTCCTGCTGCCTGCCAGTGAGGTGTAGGATTTCTTCGGTTAGCTGATAAATATTCCACTGCAGGGGATGTCCTCTGTTGAAATTGAGATAGAAGAGTTTCCTGCAGGGGTAACTTGCAAAAGGCCATATAGAAAAGTGAAATTTAAAATTTGCTGGCATGGGAAAGGTGCCTGTATGAAATGGAGCCTCTTGAGTCTACAGCAGAGGTTCCCAAACTGTCTAATTATTCTTTTTCATAATGCTGGTGAGCCAAAGGAAAGATCTATCAGTTTATTAAGTAATTAGGTCCAAACAACCCAGTATTTACATCCTAACAACTTAGTAGCTGTTTGAAAAAATAATACACATAATTCAAAGACAATTTTTTTAATTTCATTTTTCAATAACCATAACTAGTGATGGGAAATGTGCACCTGTTGTTCACTGCACCAACTTCTCAGTCTTTGGGATCAGACTGGAAATGTCCATCTTTTTTTGTTCTACATTGATTTTTAACATTGTACTTGCATTTTGGTAAAAACTCAGCTTTGCAGAGATGAGACACCATTGAAAGGAATTTAGCAAAATTTAATGTTTAAGCTGTGAGCCCCCTGCAGCTAGTAGTTTGAGATGTTGTACAGATTATCACTTTGTTTCCCTGGAAAATATAAAATTATCCATAGCACCCTGTGGAGTCCCTTATGAGGCTGTAGGGCGCTTTGATGCATTGTTTGGGAACTATT